TCTTTGTTTCTCGGGGTCTGTATCTATTGCTTGTTGTTTCTACTCACTCTCTGCATGGCAGCTTGTGTCGTTCTGAGTTTGGTGATCAGTGATTGTGAGCTTATAGACGGGAAACTGGGAGTCTTTTCCTCCAGAGAGATTTGCATTTGTTTCTGCCGGGAGGCAGGAGTACCACGACCTTGGAATCAATTTTGTCCCTCCAGGGTCCTGAGTTCGAGGCGAGAATCTGCTTATGTTGTTGGGAATCCATTTCCATTTCAGGTGGTTAGAACTGCGAATTCAGCATTTGCACTGATAGCTATTTCAAGACCACATTTCCTGTTTGTTTACTTTTTTTAGTTTTATTTTTTATTGCATTATTTCCCATTACCATTTAGTCCCCTGGTACCCCCCCCTTCCCCCCGCAACCACGACACTGTTGTCTGTGTCCCTGAGTCCTTTTTCCTTTTTGCTCAATCCCCCCAGCCCTGGCCCCCCCCCCACCAGCTGCCATCCTGCTGAGTCTGTCTCTGTTTTGCCTGTTCAGTCAGTTTGTTCAGTAGATTCCACACATGAGTGAAATCATATGGTGTTTATCTTTCTCCGACTGACTTCCTTCACTTAGCGTCATGCTCTCTGGGTCCATCCATGCTGTCATAAAGGATAAACTTTCCTTCTTTTTTTATAGCCAAGTACTGCTCCATTGTGGAGATGTCCCATAGTTGTTTTATCCACTCATCCACTGATGGACACTCGGGCTCCTCTTTGTTTAACACTCGGGTTTCACCTCACAATTCTTGTTGATTTTTACTTTTTGGTTTTGGTTTGAAGAGTGGGGTTGCCTTAGACAGTGGCCTCACCTCCTGGGATTCCTGCAATGCATTTAAAGACTAACTTTATCCAGGATCCAGGAGTCTTTTAGTAAAGGGACACTTGTGTATTTAGGTCAACGCTCCTTAATCACTTACTACTGATGGTAGAAGCAGGAGCGTAAAACCCCAGATCTACTAAAGGACTAGGCCTCCCACTGTCTTCCAGCGCTGGACCCACGGTGGGAAGTCACCATGGGCCATGGGACTCTCCACGTCGGCCAAGCCTTTTTGGATCCCATGCAGGTGGTGTGCAAGGGGCTTGAGGGCCTCCCCCAGATTTTAGCAGGACGTATATTTTGTCCCTAACCTGTCCTTCTCCACCTCGATGGCTATTCCCGTCAGGAGTTGTTGACTCACCCTCTTTTCAAAGTATTGCTCCTGGCTGGAGGGGCAGAGGAACGCCCACACTGGCCTGCCAGCCTCTTCCGTGACCTTCCTCGCTTCTGCGTTGCATCATCAACAGCAGGTCACTTCCATGACCCTCGTACATTTTGGTATATTTTGTCCGAATTTCTTAACCAATTTTTTATGCATTTTGATTAGACCCTGAGAGATATAGCCTGTGATTTCGCTTTACTCTCTCACATAACGGGGAAGTCTGAAATCTGTGTTTCTAATAGCACCTCGGAGGGTGGTCTTGGCCCCGTCATTTCAGAGCCCAGTAGGGGGGCCATCGGAGCCATCATCAAGCTGGGAGGAATGAGCAGGACAGAGCAGGCTTGGGAACAATGCTGGTGTCAGGGAGCCTCTGCCTGTCACTTTGTATAATCGGAGCGTTTGAGATGCAACCAAATATAATATGATTCCATACAGTGAAGTTCAAAAACAGGCACAGCTCCGTATGGCAGCTCACCAGCAATTTAACCATAAGCACCATATGATCAGCAATTCCACTTCTGAGTGTGCATCCCAAGGAACCGAAAGCAGGGGCTTGGACAGACCCGCGTGCACCAGTGTTCGCAGCAGCCCCGTTCGCAGCAGCCCGCAGGTGGAAAAACCCGAGGGACTAGTTACGGATGAATAGGCAAAAAAGATGGGGCACATGCAGAAAATGCAGTGTTATTCGGCCTTAAAGGAAGGAAATTCTGACACACGCCACAATGTTATGACATTATGGCAAGTAAAATAAGTCAGAAACAAAAAGACAAATATTGTATAATTCCACTTCCATGAGGCACCTAGAGGAGTCCAAACGAGGAGACAGAAAGCAGAACGGTGGGTGTCAGGGGCAGGGAATGCGGAGCCAGTGTTCAATGGGGACAGAGTCTCAGCTGGAGGTGATGAGACGGTCCTGAAGGTGGACGGTGGCGATGGCTGTACAGCAATGCGGACGTGTCCCCTGCCACCGAACTGTAGGCTTAAAAATGGTAATAAAGAGGGCAAATTTTGTTATGTATGTTTTACCGCAATTTTGAAAAACAGGCACAACTAATGCGCAGTGAGAAAAACCAAAGGAATGCTTCCCTTTGCGATAGTGACAGGGAGGGGGAACAAAGGAGGGCTTCTGGGGTCTGGACTGTTCTCTATTTGATCTACTGGTAGTTACATGAGTGTGTAGGTTTATAAACATTCACTGCGCTATCCACTTAAGATGTGTACACTTTAAAGTATGGAAATTTCAAATAATCTAAAGCAGATACAAGTAGAGAACTTTTAAAAAAAGACTTCCATGAGTGAAACTTCCTGAGTCCCAGGCAGAGGGGAGCTAGGGTCCCGTCAGGCAGCGAGCCGGCATCACAGAGCGGAGAGCAGCGGGCCTGTGAACTGGACCAGACTCATCCACGTGTTCCTGCCCCTGCCCCTCCGCAGAGCCAGCTCGAGTAACCACAGCCCCACCTCCCCGGTGGCATCTCATACCCACATCAAAGGCGTCCTCAAGAGCATGATGAAGCTTTTCTTGATTTACTTTTGCTTGGCTTCTTATTGCTGTTGCTAGTTTGCTTGTTTTACTATCACCGGCAATATTCTATTCCAGAGTCGAACCATGTTAAATCCTGATATTCCATTTTCAGGCCATCTGACTGCTGAGTCCTCGTCACATGGGGATCCCGGAAGCTGAGGGGCACCTCTGCCCCCCTGGGGAAGGGGTGTGACCCGCCGTCAGGAGCACCCCTGGGCTGGGAGAGGGAGCTGAGCTGCCAGGTGTGGGAGGACCCGGAAAGCAACAGGTCCCACCCATAAAGAGTTAAGCCTTAATCACTTACTACTGATGGTAGAGGCAAGAGCATAAAACCCAAGAAAGCACCCAATCTCCCCTTTTCCGTGTTTCCCCAGAGGAAGAAGTGCCCTTGGGGGGTCAGATGGATCCTCTCACTGTTGAGGGAAATAGAACAAAAGATTCCCTGGAGTCAGGGGAGGGCTAGGAGCAGAGCAGTACTGGTGCTGAGTCAGTAAGGAAAACCGGGTTTTTTCCCCTCTTCCCCCGTCCACAATAAGGAGGCCTCCTTAAAGACACCTGAAGAAGACAGAGGCCTTGGCATGAGAACCTGTGACAGCATGACCGGCCAGGGCCTGAGTCCCTGACCGCAAGGCCCTCGGAGGGCGCCCTGAACTCTGTGCAGGGGTCCGCGGTGCACGGCAGCCTTCTAATCGCCTAGGGTCAGGCCTGCCGATCACACACGGGTCCTGAACTGGGAGCCGGAGGGACCCCTCGCAGTGTGGGCCTCTTGCCCTCTCCTGGTGGGCCGTGGGGGTTAGAACTCCCCCCAGGGGAATGAAAAGGAGCTTCCTGAGCTCCCCGGCAGCAGCGATCCCCAGCGACCTGGAGAGCCCAGCGCCCCTGTTGGTTTACAGACCCGATGCTTCTGGCCAGTGATGGGCCAAGCCAACCACCCACCTACCTTGATCTCCAGAGGGGCCCCTCTCCCCCTAGCTAGGCTCTTGCTGACCAGACCTGAGTGTGGCCCCTTCGGGACTGGCTAGGTGGGAGAAGCTAGGAGAGCAGACAAGCCCTGGACATTTCTCGAACTCCCTCTCTTCCTGCCCTGGACAGACCCCTGCACGGCCTGTCCACATAGGGGGAAGGGGATTTCACACCAGCACCCACCCCAGAGCGCTCGGCCCCACCACCTCCGACCCCCGGAAGCCCGGGTCTTCTCCACCGGGGATGGGCCAAGCTGTTCCTGCCCGGGCTCAGCCTTCCTGGCCGGAGGGAGGCCAGGAGTCCAGTGGCTTTGTTCCACGTTCTCAGACCCTCTTGTCTCTTGCCCCTGTCCCTGCCACTGTACCCTCTTCCCTGGGAGGCGTCCTCCTCCTCACTCACCTTGTCTATGTTTTTCCCTCCTGCCTCAGACTCCGGTAGGGCTTGGTGTGACGCTGTTATTGGGCTTGTCTTTATTTAAAATTTCATTTTTGGGTTATTGTGAATTTTTCGCATGAATTTTGACTTTTCACAATATTGCATTAAACCATTAGGTATCTTAATTACCAAGTGGTTGGGTGCCCACTTAAATTCTGTACCCAAGGGGGTGCTTCACGCAGTTTGCCTCCCCCCAGCCCTGCCGTGCTCGGGAGGGACTCGTTCGCCACCAGTCACTCGGGGCCTTGTCTGTGCTGGGGCGTCTGCTGGGTTCGGGAGAGTGAAATGTGAGCCACCCACAAGGCCAGGTTGGGGAAAGACAGCCCAGAACACAGAGGACTGTGGGACAGTGTAGGACAGTGTGCAAGACGAAAGGACGCTGGGGGGATAGAAAATAATACCAACTCACTTTGGGGGGTTGCTGTGGCCAAGTCCGAGCCCAGGTCTTGGCGTGCAGCATCAAATTTGGTTTTCTCAGTAGCCTTTTGATGTTTTGGGTGCTTGTAAGTAACATATGGGGGTCCTAAAACCTGGCAAAGTTACACTCAGGGACTTTGCACAAGGTCACACTCTGAGCAGCAGTGGAAGTGGGTCCCCGTGGCTCTGGCTCTCCCCCACTCGGGGCATTGCAGCCACCTCCCCCCTCGTCCCCCTGCGGCCTCAGGGGAGGCTGCGCGGAGGAGCTTGGCATTGAGCTGACCGTTGAAGGAGGGTGTGTAGGAGTTAACAAGGGAACAAAGTGGACAGTAGCCCAAGGAACATTTGCAAAATCAGTAAGATTTAAGATAAAAATTGATATCTTGGCACACACAGTTCTAAGAAGCTGGGTGACCCTGTGAAGAGCCACTTGCGCAGAAACGGGCCCGGGCATCGCTTCCTCTTTCTGCTTCTCGGTTTCCTAACAACGTCAGCATAAATAGGAAGCGTGAGAAGTGCTCTGCTGCCTGGAGACTCCGGCAGCAGCTTGGTGTGTCCCACCTCAGAGAGGTACGGCCCGGCCTCGGGGGGCAGGCTGACAGGCGGGCGGGGGGCAAGGGGATGTGGGGAGGCTGGGACGGAAGGGACAGGGAGAGCCTGGGGGTGTCGGGGAGGCAGTTATGCTCTGGGGACTTGGGCGGATAGAGCTTGACCTCCTGGAAAGACCTGAGCCCGGATTCCTAGGGCAGCTGATGGGTGACAAGGCAACTGGGAGGCTGACCTGCTTGGGTGCCGTATGAAGGGCTCGGGGAGAGGACAGCTCCCACTGGTGGGATTCAACTTCCCGGCAGTGGTGGGGGCAGAGCTCTCAGGCCTGGGAGTCAGACACCGTGTACCGCCCATCTCTGCCTTGTTTACTAAGGTGTCACTAGGTGTTGGAGGCAGAGGGAACATTTCCTTTGTGCTGTGCTGTGTGTCATCTCTAGGGTGGAAAGAGCACCAATAGTGTCGGACATGCTGTGGGGCGTGGGGGGGAGAGAGAGGGAGAGGACACAGGGTGTCCATGGGGATGCGGGGATGTGGGGAGACGGAGAGGCAGAAGGGGAAACGGGCCACCTTGCTGTGCCCAGGCCCAGGGCTTGGTGCGGCTGGGGAAGCTCGCTTTGGAAAACGAGAAGAAGCCAAGTCCTTTACCCCCAGACACATTTCTCTTCCTCAAGGAATGTTTTTGCCATCACACTCTCCCTGAACTGCGATCACTTAGCTGAGTGTGTGTTCTGTCCCCAAGGGTGTCGCCTTGGTGGGTGGATGGGCGCCCGGGGTGTCCGCATAGACATGCAGGTGGGTGCAGGTGTGTGCAGGTGGGTGCATGTGCCCAATGGATGGCGGGGCAGGTGTTTATATGGGTCCGAACTGGGGTGTGAGGCTGTGGGGCCCCCCGACAGCCTTTAGTGACAAGTTGCTGATGGGCCACTTTTCTTCTTCCAAGGCCCTCTTACATCTTCTGTAACCAGGTTCTAATTTTCTCCACCTGTCATCCTTCCTACTGTCAAATACTTTTAAGTGAGTAAAACCTTCCCTTGTAGCTTTAGTTCACTCTTTATTATTCATCAGTTTTTCTTATTTTGTGCTGTATTCACCAGTCCTACAAGTGAATACGGTTAATGCGCATATTTAATATTAAACAAGTAAAGGCATGGATATCTGCTCTATGAAAAATTAGAATAATCCAAAGTTATGCAGCAAAGAAAACAAAGTCCCAGTCATCTCTATCCTCTAGTCCCACATCCCACGTTCTTCATCACGTGTATCCTTCCGCAACATTTTCGAAGCGTAATGTAAGTGTATAGTTTTTCTTTCTTTTTTTTTTAAATCCTCACCTGAGGATATATTTCTATTGATTTAGAGAGAGAGGAAGGGAGAGAGAGAGAAACATCAAGAGAAACATTGATCGGTTGCCTCGCAAACATGCTGGGGATCAAACCTGCAACCGAGATGTGTGTCCTGACCGGGAATCAAACCCACGGCCTTTTGGTGTATGGGACAAGGCTCGAACCAACTGAGGCACCTGGCCAGGGCAATATAGAGTTTTTCTTTATACATAAATGGGATTATTACATACATATTGTTCTATGGCTTATGTATTCTATGACATACATATTGTTCTCATCTAATATTGTTTTAGCAACTTTCCAAAACAATACATATAGATTTAATTCATTTATTAACCTTAAGAAATGTGTAGCATCTATTAGTATGGACACACCACACTTTACCCAGTCCCTTATTGATAGACACTTAGGTTGTTTTCAATTTTTCCACACCCGTGAGAGTGTTTCTACAGCCCAGATTCCAAGAAGCAGAATTGATGTGCAAGAAATTGCATGTTTAAACATGTATATAGACATTTTCCAATCATCCTTAAGGTGGCATAGTTAACATATAATCACAGAGCCATGCATAAAAAGGCTGATTTCCCTTTAAAAAAAGAATCTTTTAGTTGGGTCCCACATAATGGATGAAAATTATCTGGCTCTTCTTGGATTTTTTCTCTGATTATTAGGGAAGTTGTACATCTTCACCAAATGAACTCCTTTGGTGATGTCTGTCTTTTATCCACTCTCTGATGGGTTCTTTGACTTGTACGCCTTTACTTTAGAAATGAGTCATTCATTGTGTGCATTAACAATTTATTTGCATATTTTGAAAATATATTCTTCCAGATTATCGCTTGTCTATTTTCTTCACCATGTTTAAAATAGCTTGTTCCATTTAAAAATGTACTAATTGCTTCTAAATCAAATCTGCCATCATTTTTTTACTTAATGCTTTCTGGATTTGATGTCTTGTTTAGATTAAAGACATGTTTGTGACGCTTTTATCATTTTCATTTCAATTTTAGATTTTTAATCCACCTAGAATTTAGAGAGGAGGCTAATACGTAGAGCGATAATCTAACTTAAAAAGCCGTTGGCTAACTGTGGCAACATCAGCAACGCTCTGTGTGCCGCCCAGGCTGGCCGTGGCCACTTAAAATGCCATTGTCACTCCCTGAGCTCCTACTTGCTTATTTTCCTTACCGTATTCTGTTCCATCTGCTGTTATCTTCCCTGTTATTTGTACAGGTAATAGAGCAAGTCTCTCATCTTTGGTTTGTTATAATTTAGAATCAGTTTGTCAAACCCATTAGAAATCCTTTTGAAACGTCTTTGGAATTTTGGTTTAGATTGCACTGAATTTAGAGATTATTTGGGAGAGGACCGACCACCTTGGGCAGCTTCTCCCTCACGCCTCTGACCTGGACGGCCCTAATGTTTTCTTTGCCCCTGATGTTGCCACAGGTTTCTAGCAGATACCAGAAAAGCCAACAACCTCTCCTTCGTCTCCTCATTTGCCAAGATTTATTCGTTTGTTTAATCAGGAATGGCTTTTGTACCAAATCGCTTTTGTATCAATTGTTTAGGAGCATCTATCAATGTAAACTTGCCCGTCCTTGCTGGTATGGCTCAGCTGGTTGGAGCTTCTCTCTCAGATCAAAGTTTTTCTCTCCCTTCCTCTCTCTTTTTTTCTCTCTAAAAGCAATGCAAACAGTGTCCTCAGGTGAATATAAAATAATAATAATAATAATAATAATAATAATAATAAGATAAACTTACCTGTTTTTCCCCCTTTAATCAGTTCATCTGTTTCTTTTTATCATAAATAGACTTCTCAATGGCTGTCTGTCAGATTATCCTCTGAAATTGTTTTCCTCTGCAGTGAATTTAGGTTTCTTTTTTCATTTCCAGTTTTTATCCCTATTGTTCAATTTCTTCACAAGTCTGGGAATTTTGGTGTGTGTGTTTATTTTGAGTGAGAAGGTGTCTGGTTTTTCTCTTCTCTGTTCTCCTCTCCCTCCTTCTCCTTTTCCTCTCTGTCATCCTCTCGCCCCCAGGGGTCACTTCTGCTCGCTGTGACTTTCAGCCCATAGGTCTCTAACACACGTATTTTCCGTCAGCAGTTGGGTTTAATTACTGTAGGTAGGCTCTTCCAAAACCAGACAAGATCCTTAGCAAGCTTTCACTTCTCTGCTGTCCACCCTATCCTCACAACCAAGTGTAAAAATCATCTGATTTTTTTAATTTAATACTGCTTCCTTGTATTTATATATTCTCTCTCTACTAAGAAGCATTTCTTCTTTACTTAACTCTTAAGTCTTACTGGTTTATTTTCTCATCACTTATTCCAGCATCACATGCTTTCTTTCCTTCTTGGATTTAAAAAAAAAAAATCCCAGAGTAATTTCTTTTTCCAGAAAAGATCTAAAATGCTTTTTTTTTTTTTTTTGTCCTTACATTTCCAAAATGTTGTGTGTGTGTGTGGAGGGGGTGTTTTGCCCTTGAACTTCAAAGTAAGCTTGACATTTTATGATTCTAGGTTTAAACATACTTTCTCTTCATATTTTCAAGACAGCACTATTTAGAGTTCAGGGTCACTAACTTCTCGAGAAAATCTTTCCAACCTGACCCTTGTTGCATTAAAAATAACGTGTTTGTTTCTTTCTTTCTGGAAGCTTCTAGGATTACCCTTTTATTCTTGGATGACTGAAAGTTCACCAGTATAGGACTGAGTATGGCACTTAAAAACTAATTTGGCTCTTCACTTAGTGAACTGTTGTCTCTTTCAGAGCCCTGTGAAGTTTTCTTCTGTTTCTCATTGTATCTATTTGGGTGCACCTGGAAAAAATCCCCAAATGATAGTGGTTTAACAATACAGAAGTTTATTTTTCTCTCACATAAAAGATGTCTAGAAGTAGGCAGTTTCAGGCTGGAGTGGTTTTCTTTCAGTGAAAAAAGGAACCCAGGTTCCCTCTTTCTGTTGCACATGAAACAGACTTTTCATCGTCAAGGTAACCTTATGGTCCAAAACAGCTGCTGGAGCTCCAGCCATCACTTCCAAGTTTCAGGCTAGAAGGAGGAGGAAAGGTAACAAAAATGGACCTCTTCCACTTGAGCCAACTCCCTTTAAACAGCTGTTATGGATAGCTCATCTCTGTTTCCATTCGTATCTCCTTGGACAACATTTAGTCACATGACCACACCCAACGATAAGAGACTGTAGGGAATAGTCTTTTATTCTGTGCAGCAAAATTTCCAGATAAAACCTGAACTTCTGTCAGCTAGCTGGCTGACACTGTCTACCATACCTGCCCTCAGTTCTAGAGGCTGGAGCTCCTGAATTTCCTGTCTAGGTCTCAGCTTTTCTCTAAGGCTTTCCTTCTCCTTGCCCATTTCTCTGTCTTTAATATGTACCATCAAACATGATTGTCTGTAGTGTTCTTTCTATAATTTGGCCCATTACTGAGGGTTTTTTTTTTTCAACTATGGATTTTCTTACCATCAAATTCCAAGATCTCTGTTTATTTGCTCTTTGCATAGCGGCGTTTTGGGGGGGGGGTTGTTGTTGTTTTGTATGGCCATAATTTCTCACGTCTGCCTGAGGGTACTAGTTAGGATGTTTTCAAGTTTTGTTGTGTGTTGGCTATATTTATGCACTCCTGTAGAATTGTCGTTAGGTCAGTGTACGCCACAGTAGATTGGGAAATAGAGCCGCTATTAAGAGAATGAGTAAGAGTACAAACTCTAGCGTCCACCTGCTGGGGCCTTCAGTCCCAGCCTCTCCTTAACTAGCTGCGTTGTTGTGGACCATTTACCTGTTTCCTCTTCGATAAAGTGGAGATTCTAATAGTAACCCACACATGGATTATTAATATCTGTAAAGATCTTTGAACCAGACCAGAATCATGGTCAGAATTTCTTTTTTAGTCTTTAGTTATTTTAGAGAGAAGGGAAGGGAGGGAGAAAGACAGAGAGAGAAACATCAATGTGTGAGAGAGATACCAATCGGTTGCCTCTCACAACCCCCAAATGGGGACCTGGCCCGCAATATGGGCATGTACCTGACAGGAGTCGAACCAGCAAACTTTCGGTTTGCAGGCAGGAACTCAATCCACTGAGCCACACCAGCCAGGGCTCTATCAGAATTTTGTCATTGTTAGCCACTAATAGGAATTTTCTGTATGTGAGTGAATTTTATGCTTGTGTTGTTTGATGACCCTAATTCGTTTTAACCATTTACTATGTAAAGGTAGTAACCTGTTCTCTGTATTTTTGCTGCCAATATTTCTTTTTTTGCCCTTTGTCCTTGGCTTTATGGTCTGGTTATTTTTATAAAATATAGAAAAAAATTGTCTTTATGTACTTTTCGTCAGCCTTCATCTCTCTGATTTCTTCCACTGCTTTTAAGCTTGAATGGTTTAAAAGTATTCCCTTCTATGGTTTGCGAGTCTAATGTGCTTTGACTTCTTCCATTTAAATTTTGAAGTAGCCTGATATTCGGGGACTGGTGTGAGATAGGGGTTTGGGCTGATATGTTTTATGTTGTTCAGTTATCTTAGCACTTTTTCTTATTCCATCCCTGCATGTTGATCGCGGTTCCTCCTCCATCACCGAGCACATACTTGGATAAAACAGAGTTTGTCTGGTCTGTGTCCATTGATATGTCGTGTGTGCGTGTGTGTGTGAGAGAAAGACAGAAAGAGAGAACACACTCCTTTATTTGTCAGATCTTTCTAATACATTTTGCTGTAATCCAATAGCAAAATTAAAATTAAAATTAAGCCTCCTTATCTTTAAATATCTTGTTAACTCTCCCCACAAATATGTTTCTCTTCTACTGCGTTTCTGCAGAGAGTCTTAGATTTTTATAAGACTCGTGGTAAACCTTTAACTTATTTCGGGATGACTCGCTCCCTTCTCTCGTGTAGCCTTTCTACCTGTGACGAGACCCCAGCGAAGCTCTGCGTTTTCCCGCTCGTGCTGGCACCAGCCCCCGCGGCCTCCCACGTGCCTCCCCCCGCCCGCCCCAGGGCATTGCCCCGCCGGCAAGAGCTAAAGCTATGGCGCTCTCTCCCCAGCTCCCAGCACCCCTGCTCTTGTTTCCCGAGCACTCATCAGACCAGCCGGCCTATAAACACCATCCCCTTCGGTTCTCCTCGTGACAGCCATGTGAGTGAGACACGTACTTGTGGACACTTCACCGACCCAGAGTGAGGTTCAAAGAGCGTGGGTGAGTGAGTCAGGCCCCCCCGGCAAGAATGGGGCAGAGGCTGGGTTTAAGGTCAAGCTGTCTGAGGACAGAGCGGCGCTTCCCCAGCAAAGCGGCTGCGGGAATGGGAGGGTGTGTGCTTGCTCCTGCAACCTGAGCGGAGCTTCAGGCTGTCTTCCTAGGGATGAAAAGAGGAAATCCCCGGCCTCCTGCTGAGAATAGGGAACTGGTGTTCAGAGACCAGTGTGGGAGGAATGCCAGGAAATGGGGCAGAGGTGGGGAGAGTACAAGGCTCCCCTGCGTGAGAGTGAGCACGTGATCACACCCAGGGGAGGACACCATGTCCCCAGCACCCAGTGATTCTCCAAAGCAGATGTAGGTCAGTAGCCATGGGGAACTCAAGGCAAGCCAAAGACCAGGCCTCTGTCTCAGGTTTCCCCACCACCCAGGCCCGCACAGGGGTGCCTGATGCGCGGCCCACTGGGAACCAGCTTCCGCAGGGGCCGTCGGTCCTTCTCCCTCGTGGTCGGGCCCAAAGCTGCTGAGGCTCAGGGGCAGGAGCTGTCCAAGGCGCTGGGGTGAGGCAGCAGTGGGGGCTGGAGCCCATGCATCGGGGCCACTCCCGGGGTCACCCCTAAAGTAGGCTGGGGCCTGGGGGATGCAGGGCCCGGAGGGGCAGCTCCCAGATGGTGTTTTCTCCACAGGCCTAGAAGGAGGCTGAGTTCTGGACGGCGGATTCACGAGAGCAGATGACCAGGGCATAGCCTGGCCCCCAGCTGGGGACAGACACAAGATTCCCGGCCAGGAGGACTCGCACCCTGCTCAGACCTGCACCCACCTGCGCTGCACCCTGCTCATCCAGAGCTGACCCAAAGATGGTGCCGCCCTGGTGGCTGCTCCCGGTAACCCTGCTGGCTCTGTGCTGGGGGCCCAGCACGGTGAGGGCCCAAGGTGAGCCTAATGCTCTCTCCCCTTTCCCTCCGCATCCCAGTTCCAGTCCTCGCTGCTGCGCCCCGTGGGTGGGACTGGCCCCCACGCATGCCCCAGGAAGCTCCCCGGCGCCAGCAGCCCTGGCCTTCCCTCCCTCCCTCCCTTCCCGCATTTCTTCTCTCTCCCTGATCTTCCCGGCGCCCCTGCCCTCCGGCCTCCCACGCTCCTGCTTATTTTTCTCAGGCCTCCTGTAAAGTCCATCTCCGCTTGTGCCCTTTCTCTGCCCACATTTTTCAGTGCGGCCTTCGAGGCCTCTGACCTCCAGGCCGGCCCTTCCCGCCCTTTCTCTGCCTCTTCTCCCTTCCCGCCCCTCCCCGCTTTCTGACAGTGGCCTTGACTGCTTCCCCCCTCCCCAGGGCTCTTGGCCTGAGGGAGTTTCTCCCTACTTGGGCTCCAGCAACCTCCTCGAGCTTAGAGGCCCAGTGGGGATGCTCCTGAGGCCCATGAACCCCGCTTTCCAAGGGCTCCCAGGGAACTTGGGTTCTCTGAAAGCCGGGAAACCACATTCCCATTTCCAGGCATCAGGCCTGGTCACTGGCCAAGGGTATGGCCGGGAGGTCCCAGAGCAGGGTCTGCGCTGCTGCCTCTCGGTGGGCTTGCGCCTCTCCTCCCGGGGTGGGCCAGGGGCTCTGGGGGCAGAGCCTGTGCCTGATGCACGTCCCTGCCCTGGGGGGAGGGGGTGGGGGCAAGAACCCTGCTCCTGGAGGACAGGCAGGGGCTCATGAACTGCGCTGGGAATCTACTAGAATATTGTGTTTCTATGCAGACAGGGGAGAGGAGAGGTGCAAGCCCCTCCAGGTCCCTCCCGGGCCGGGGACTGTCCCCCTGCAAACCCTGCGCTGCCATAATGACTACACCAGCAGCATCGTGTGCGGGTGGGCGGACACCCAGGAGGCCCAGCGGCTCATCAACGTGACCCTCCACCGCAGACTGAACGAGTGAGTGAACAGGGCGCAGGCGGAGGGCAGGGAGGGGGCTGCGGGGTGGGCAGAGCCAGGTGGGGGCTGCACAAAGGACAGAGGAGGGGGCTCCTGCCCAGAGGATCCAGCTCCAGCAGGTGGCTCCCAGGCCCGGGTGCCGGCGCCTCATGCCAGGGTTTCCAGGGAGAGCATCCGTGTTAATGCTGTTGCTGCCAACGGTGATAATCTTCTCTGATTTCACCACAATTTAACGAAATCATCCTGCACAAGTTTTGTTTTGAGGCAGGGAGGGCGGGGACGGACTGTGCCATTCACACATGAAGAAATCGAGGCTGTGGGGCTGAGGTCCCTCCCCCCCAACACAGAGTGGCCAGGATCCTGTGTCTGGCCTGGGGGCTGGGCTCCATGTGTCCCCAAGACCCTGAAACCTCCAGACTGAGGAGTTTGTCCTTTCCCCTCAGGTGGCCTCTGGAGCATGTGCCACTGGGCGAGGTGCCTCACACAGTGCAGGGGCTTGGTGACGCTCTGACTCACAGTGATAGAAATAATTAAACTGTTGGTGTCACAGGGTTGGGGAGACCCCTGGGGGTGTCACTCTGGGAAGGAGCCACTGTCATCCACAGCGTAGCCTCTGAGCTCTCCTTCCGCTCTCCTGGGAACGTCTACCTTTCCTCCTCCACCCTCCTCATTACCTCCGCCACCTCCCACCCTTGGCCGTGTCCTCTTCCTCCTGTGCTGAGACACCAGGCTCCCAGGAAAGAAGCCCGAGCCCCTCCATGCTCTCCATGCGAGGCTGCACGTCTGCGCCTCCCTGGACCCACCGGTAGGGATCTCCTACGGTGACTTTGCAGCCGGGCTCCCATCCGGCTTTGCTGCTCAAAGACACCACTGCCGCCGTGGTCTCCACTCTTTCCCATGCCATCAGTGGACCCACCCTGGGATCGTTCACAATCACTGAGCCCATGTGTCCAGCCCCCACTTACCAAGACAGGGTGCAACTCCGGGACGCCTCCTGATCCCATCTCCTCCAGCTGGCACCCACCCTCTGCCCCGCTTAGTAATGACGCTCCTCTAAAGAGGTGCCCAGACCCAGCGTACCAGCGCCTTTCCAGCGAGTGTCTCCTGAACCTCCTCCCCCAGGGCTCTGCGGCCCCCAGCCGGCCGCCCAAGCCGCTCCTGCTGAAGCCAGCAAAGCCCTCACTGGCGCTCAGGCAGATGGCCAGCCTGGGCCTCCCGCTCGGGACCCGGGGCCACACCTGAATGGGGCTGACCGCAGCGTCTTTCTGAAGACTTTTCTCTCAGCTCCCTTCTTTGGCTTTGGACTTGAAGGGTGAGATGCCCCAGGGCTCAGTCCTGCACTCTTACCTTGCGGACCCTCCGTGCCCTGAGCAGCCCAGACCTCCCTCTGAGCTGCAGACCAGTAGGGGCACTTGGTCTCCTCATTGTCCCTTAGAAGATAGCTATCTTCAACGCCAAACATTCTCAGCCAGATTTCTACTCTATCCCCAAAAGACCGCTCCAGCTCCAGTCTTGCCATCTCTTTTCACTAAATGGGGGTTCCTAGGGGTTCAAGCCAAACACCTGGGAGGTTTTTGTTGTTTGAATCTCTTCACCACCTTTCCTTCCCCATCAGAGCATCTCGCCCACGTGCAAAATCTGTCAACTTCATCTTCGAATAGAATGTGAATCTGGCCAATACTACCACCTCCCTGATTCAAACCATTTCCTATCACTTGCGATATTCCAGAAGCCGCCTAACCGCTCCTTCTGCTTCCAATATTGCCAACCCTGTCAACCCAATCTATCCACCACCTGGCAGCCAGAGGAATCCTTTCAAACATTTGTCAGAATATGTCACTCCTTTGCTCATAACTCTCTCATTTTTCCCACTGACAGCGAAATCCAAATTCTGTAAATTTTTTTTAATTGTTGGCTTCCTGTCACCTTACTCAGTTAGACTCCTAGGCCTTCCAACCTCATGTTCTACTCCATACACAATGGTGAATTGCCTCGTCATACAGCCCTACTAATCAGAGCCTGCCCCAGGGCCTTTGCACTTGCTGTTTCGATGACCTGAAATCTCTTTTCCCCAGAATGTGCATGGCTCCTCCTCCACCTCCTTCAAGTTTCTACTCAAGTGGCACCTTTTCCAGGAGGCCTTCCCTGTCACCCCCGTTTCAAATTGCATTCCCCACTCCAGTCCTGCTGGGCTCCTCTTCCTTTCCTGCTGCACTTGTTTACATGAAGTTTCCTCCACTTGATGCGCGACTTCTTTTGTTCAGCTGGTTCACGTGTGTCTCCCTCCAGCAGGATGTCGCTCCTATGGGCAGGGATTTGCGTGTTTTGTTCACTGCCAGGCCCCCGGCCCTGGGCAAAGCCTCGCACATGGGAACCACCTGATAATGCTGTGCATGAGAGATTAGTCCTCACTGTGGTCTAACCCTGGTCCTCTCCCAACAGTACCCCACTGCAGCTAGTGTCCTGTGAGCTCAGTGACAAGCTCTGGTCAGACTGCCCTGCTCCTCCCTGCGTGCCCAGAAGATGCGTCATTCCCTACAAGCTGTTCGTCAATTCCGACAAGGACAACTTCTCTTTCCAACCAGACAGGCGTCTGGGCACCCAGCTCACTGTTATTCTGACCCAGCATGGTGAGGCCTGGGGTCCCTGGCTGTGGGGGGGGATCCCCAGTGTAGACAGCGCACCCGGGGGGTGCCCAGACTGCGGGGGGTGGGCCAGCGGGTGAGAGCCTTCACGGGACGGAGACCCTGGCCTGGGGTGGGGGTGGGTTTGGTCTGTTGAAGGAAGAGGATATGGCTCCTTATGAGGAAGGTGCTAGAGCAGGTACGGTGTGGGCATCCGCTGGGTAAAGTGACCCCCCGGCCCTGGCTGCTCCACCAGCTGCCGAGGTACTGCCTTCCAGCACCGAAGGCTCCCCTTCTAGAAGAACCGTTCTGTGATTCACATAAAGACTTACTAATTTATAAAACTCTTTCATCTTTGTTGTCTCATCCAATGTCTGCAATACCCCTCTTATAGATGAGGCACTTCAGACCCAGAGAGGTTTTGTAACTTATCCAATGTGCCACCACTGAGCAGAAGTGACAATTCTGTGTCAGACTGGCCAGGTGTTTCCTGTACGTTAGATGGAGCCGCCGCCTTACTGCCCTCGCTGAGTGCCCCCAGTGCCACACACGGCCCAGGGCAGTCCATGGTCTTGATGGTCATTTACATAAATAGTTAAGCTTCCTTCTACTACATATTAGACAAAAGTGTAACCGACACTTCAATCTCGTTCGTTCAATTTTATTTGTGCCCAGAATGAGCCTAAAGTAAAGATGAGAGGATTTTTTTTTTTTTAATCCTCACCCGAGGACATTTTTTCATTGCTTTTTAGAGAGATAGGAGGGGAGAGAGGATGAGAGAGAAGAGAGAGAGAGAAACACTGATTGGTTGCCTCTCACAAGTGCCCCAACCAGGGATCGAACCTGCAACCTTTCGGTCTATCGGAGGACGCGCCAACCAACTGAGCCGCTGGCCAGGGCAGGGGTTCATTTTTAAAAGTTAATGTTCACATGGCCAGAATCTTGCCAATGGCTGGCTTTTGGGAAACACCGTCTGATAATATGTTGTAATTACAATAACGTATGGTGCTGGGTGCTATTTTTTTTTTTTCAACCCCAATTCACTGATGATGAAACTGAGACTGAGAGAGCAAGCCACTTGCCCAAGGTTCCTCAGATCTGGTATCTGACGTTAGTGCCCTGGGTCCCAAACACTGGCCAGCCTGGGGTGCATCTTGCAAGGGTCAGGGGCTCGGCCTTTGCCTCCTGCCTCTTTCCGTCCCAGCAGCACAAAGCTGTTCTCTGGAGGAGGGGGTGGGTTAGGCCTTGCAGAATTCACTTCAAACTCAAAACATGTGTTTGATGGCTGAGGAAGAGACCTGTGCCGGGTGGCACGTGCATGCTGGAGAGGGGGTACCAGGCGTTGTCTGGTGCAAACTCTTACAGAAGGCAGGTGCATGCCACATGGCCGAGGGGCAGTGGGCACGGAGACGCTGGGAGGCTGGGACGGGATTTCCAAAGGAAAGAGCTTTGCAGGGAGACCTGCAGGGTGAGTGGGAGAAGACACCAAGAAGAGCCAGGGAAACAGTGTGTGCAAAGGCCGGGAGGCTCAGGAGTGTGAGGCAAGTTGGAAAACCCGCTGGTAATTGTGTCCTGAGAGCATCAGCTCCCAGAGGGCCGGCCAGCGGTAGGAAGGACAGGGCAGTGAAGGCGGGACCTGGTCTGGCGAGGCGTCTGTGCCCTGTAAGCGCGTGGATAGGTCAAAGTCTAGGCAATGGGAAGCCACTGAAGGGACATGACAAGATCAGATGTGAGTGTGAGGACACCAGCAGGGGTGGGTGGCAGGGGATGGGAAGTGGCAGGAGATTGGAGCCCAGAATGTCGCCTAAGGCCCTAATCCCATGTAGAAATGATGAGGATTCAACTGAGATATGGCCGGGGGGTGGGGACATGGGCAATATAAAGCAGTTAGGCTGTGCATGCAATTCATTCATTGGTCTGTTCCTGCACTGAGCACTGCTTACACCAAGGGAGCAGTGGACAAGCCTGGGAGGGTCCCTGCCCGTGCGAAGCTTATGGCCTGGGAACAGGGAAGGTGTCACAGTGGATATGGGGACACTATAAAAATGGGGACAGAGGGGGCCATTTGCCTCCTGGAACATACATCAGTTGGGAAGTCAGGTCCACCCCAGTTATTATGACAATGAGTCAGGGAGGCTGTGAGGTGCTGGGGAGGAGGCAGGGGTGCATCCGACAGGCTCGAGGCTCCCATGTTTGGAGATCTGGATGTTTCACTTCCTCAATCGGCCTCTCCATCTGTGCAGTGGGCTGGTGGGCTAACGTCTCCCAAGTTGGATGAATAGGTCTTCCACTGGCCTCCCAGTCAGTTCCGTTGGTAGCAGTTTCCCAGGGCTCCATGCAGAGAAGGGCGCCCACTCCGTGGCAGGCTGGGGGGCTGGGAGCGCAGCGATGGCCTCAGGACACCCGGCGTGGCCCTGGGCGGGAGGGGGCACCCTGTCTCTGCCATCCTGGGCTGCTGCTCCGCAGGTTCCAGCTCTGACACGCTCTCCTGGGCCACGTTCTTCGTCCTGCGTAGAACATGGAGAAGATCTTGTTCGGGCTCTCGTTGAATTCTTTGTGTTTGAAAGTCATCCCTGGGCACCCAGACACAGAGGCTTCAGGGGGCAGGACCTGTCCCGCCCCTCATGAAGCTGCCCGCCCAGCCCTCTAGGCCCCAGCTGAGGTGTGCTTGCTGTTGGTTGAGGGAAGGACTCTGTGAAAAGTCTCTGAAGGTTGCCTACATGCCTTCCTTCATTTCTTTGTTCTCTTGGCCCCTGAACCACTGAAACCATTACATTGCAGGCCCTGGGGAGAGGGAAGGGGACCAAAGCCCAAACTCTGTCACCCACCAGCCCCCCTACCACTTGGGGAGGCAGATGTGGAAACATATAAACCCACCAGGGTAAGGGCCATACAATTGGCTATGTAGGACTGGAAAAGGGGCAAAGATCCTGCATGGGGGAGGGGACCCAAGAAGGTTCCAGAAGAGGAACTTAACATGCTGGGCCCTGAGAGGTGAAGGACATTGGGCAGGTGGAGAAGGTGGAGCAGAAAGAGTAACGTGAGCCACAGCGCCCTCTGCTGGGTGGGGAGGGGCACACAGCATCCTGTACAGTGGAACCTGGGGACAAGAGGGAGGAGGCTGCATTTAGAGTTTAATTGCCAGCACCTTGCATCGAGCGAGGCACAGCTATCGGCACAGCCTTTATTCACAGTCACATTGAGTCCCCACGATTTGGCGGAGGAAGAGCCTGAAGCCCACAGAGGACTGGGGCTTTGTCCAAGGTCGGTCAGCTGGTGGGGGCAGCGCTCCTCCCGGAACCCCAGGCTGTCCACACAAAGACCGTGCAGGTCCCTAACCGCCCCCACCAGAGCCCAGCCCCTCACAGTCCCTTGGCCTCCTCTCCCTCAGTGCGGCCCCCCGCGCCCCAGGACATCTACATCCGCACTGCCGGCGACCGCTTCCTGCTGACCTGGAGAATGGCCCTCGCGGATTCCCAGGGCCAGTGGCTGTCAAACCTGGAGTTTGAGGTGGTCTACAAGCGGCGTCAGGACTCCTGGGAGGTAGGGACCTCGGCCAGCTCGGCCCTGAGCCCACAGGAACCCGGCCCAGCCTGCAGCGGCTCCAACGGCCCCTCTCTCCCGATAGGATGCCTCCGTCCTCTACACCACCTCCCCGCAGGCCGATCTGGGGCCGGAGCACCTCCTGCCCAGCAGCACCTACGTGGCCCGAGTGCGCACCCGGCTGGGCCCGGGCTCGAAGCTCTCGGGCAGGCCCAGCCCGTGGAGTCCAGAAGTTTCCTGGGACTCCCAGACAGGTAAGGGCGCCGAGGGGGGAGCGGCCCCTCTGTGGGGAGGGCGGCTCATCGCAGCTCCCAGCAGCCGGAGCCCAGGGGTCTGCACTGCGGATTCCACCCACCTCTGTGGCCTGTGTTTAAGGTCGCCCGCCCTCCCCCCCCCCCCCCCCCCCCCCGGGGCCCAGCTGCCCCGTGCGACTCTGCAGAGGCAGCCCAGCGTCGTGCCCACTCTGGGCCCCAGGGCCTACACACCGTCTGCCTTCGAACCGTGGCTGCCTAGCAGCTGGGTGTTCGTGAGAGCTGTGCCATGTGCAGACAAAACACCATTCTTGTGTGAAATCCCCAAACCCTGACTAGGCGCTGTCCCCATTCCCACGGGGGCCTGAGGGTTCATGAAATTCGCTCACTCTCTGACCTGTGGGCACCCAGCTGGCAGGTTCAGGCTGAACTTTAACCCCTGGGCTTTTGGGCCCTAAAGCCCAGGACCTCTCTGTGGTGAGTCTCATGGTGGGCAGCCACCAAGAGCTCGGGAATGAATGGAGAAGGGAGTGAGGGATGGACTGTCTTCCCCCACCCCACCCCCCAGGGGACAAGGCCCAGCCCCAGAACCTCCAGTGCTTTTTTGACGGAGGTGCCACACTCAGCTGTTCCTGGGAAGTGAGGTCCGAGGTGACGAGCTCTGTCTCCTTCACCCTCTTCTACAAGCCCAGCCCCAACACAGAGTGAGTATCCTCTTCCTCTGTCCTCTCCCCTCCTCTGTCCCCTGCCCTCCCCAGGTCTCCTCCTGCCCCTGGGTGCCCAGCAGGAGCCACAGCTTATCCCATGGTCTCACCCCTCCCGTGGTCCCTGGCCCCTGCTGCCCTCACCTCTGCCGTGACTCTCAGGGAGAAAGAATGTTCCCCGGTGCTGAAGGAGGCTTGCGGCCACTACATCCGGCACCGGTGCCAGGTGCCCGTGGCCGACCCCGGGAACCACAGCCAGTACATCGTCTCCGTTCAGCCGAAGGTGGAAGAGAAGTACATAAAGAGCTCAGAGAACAGTGAGTTTGCCCTCAGCCTTCTATGGGGGGACAAGAGGATCTTGGGACAGCTGTGTTTCATTGCATATGTAACCTGTGTAAATTCAGGGTTCCCAATGTTACCATCTTTACGTTTGTCACTTTCAAGAAACAAACGCAGTCCAGTGAATAAAGTAAACAAAGGTCATTAGAATCTCCTCTTTCAGTTCTCAGGAAGCAATAAACACAACAGTGCCCTGGCTGGTGTGGCTCAGTGGATTGAGTGCTGGCCTGCAAACCCAAAGGTCGCTGGTTCGATTCCCAGTCAGGGCATGTGCCTAGATTGCAGGCCAGGTCCCCAGTTGGGGACGTGCACGAGGCAAGAGATCAATGTATCTCTCACACATCGATACTTCTCTCCATCTCGTTCTCCTTTCCCTCTAAAAATAAATAAATATTTAAAAAATAATACAACAATGGCAACGACAAATAACCTGTAGGAAGATTAATCGGCATCCTCCAGGAGTGCCTCTCGAACGCCCATCCCCCCCTCCCCTGCCGTTGCTTTGCTTGAGCTCTGCCTGCCTCTCCAACCCTGTAGCTGCGCTAGCTTTCCCGCTCTCAGCCCTGCCCCCCGGTCCTGCCACCAAACTCTTCTTTTCCTTCCCTGATTGGGTTTTGCTCTCAGGTTTCCAGAGTTCTCCCCCAGTGGATCTTTTCAGTGTTCAAAATAATTGACCTAGATTCACTTCTTCAGATGAGATCTGGCTGTGGGCAAATAAGCCAACGCTCCTTGCAGGTTAATGTCCCTGGTTCCTGCTATGTGGCAAGCACCCGCTCAAAGGGACCCCCACGCCATCTCGGGGTGATCGAGTTCTTCCACCCCGTCTCCAGGCAGGAGTCAGTTTGTCTCAGTCACTTGGGCTACAGTCTACCACTTAGTCTCTGGGGATCAGCCAGGTTACAACCTTGATCTCTGCCCCTTGTTAGCTGCCTGTCCTTGACAAGCGACTAATTGTTCTGGGGCTCAGTTTCTCTGTCTGCAAAATGTGACAACCCCCGTAGGGTTGTTGTTAGAATTGAGGGAACTAATTCATGCAGATTGAGCATGTCTAGAACAGTCACGGCTCTAGAATAGAACCGATTATAGTGATTTTTTTTTAACGTAAGTACTGTGAATACCGTATTTTGCCATGTATAATGCACATCCACGTTTTTGGCCCAAACTTTCAGGGAAAAAAATCTTTCATTCGAATTGTTTAATGCAATTTTTTATTTATTTGTATTTAGAAACAAAACCGATATCCTATTCCAGGGTATTATTTTGCATATGGATATCGTTATTGCTTACTAGAGTTACGCTTTTAATGCATAAGCATAAATAAAAGAATTAAAAACATTTATATGGATGAGAATTAGTACTATCCGTGTGTAATGCACATCCTTATTTTTCCCTCAAACATTTGGGCAAAAACATGTTCATTATACACAGCAAAACACGGTAACCTGTGCCTTGGGTCACCTCACTGCAAAACAGGTGAGACCCGGCATCAGCCAAGAACAGGGCGGCTCGCATCAAAACGGACGATGTGGCGAGGTGGAGGTGCAAAGACCCTGAGAAGAGCGGGACCTGGGGTCCTGGGCCACTGGAGACAGCGCCTGGGACCAACATGGAATGCAAGGAATGTTCCATGGGAGGAATGTTAGGAACACTGTTCCCTAAAGTTTTCCTTCCTCCAGTCCAGATGGCTCCCCCGAAGCTCAACGTGACCAAGGGCGGGGACGGCTACATTTTGCACTGGGAAGTAGAGAAGATGGCCTACTCGCACATCGTGCACACCTTCGAGGTCCAGTACAAGAAAGCTGCTGACTCGTGGCAGGTGAGGGCACGTGCCCTGGAGGGGCCTGCGGTGGTGGCGGGTAAGGGGCAGGGGGCGCACGTGAGCCAAGCCTGGGAAGGTGCCACCTGTCAGAGGCCTGGCTCCTGCAGCTGATCAGTCAGAAGGAGCCACTGGCACTCGGCGGTCACAACCGTAGGTGATCAGTGGGTCACTGTCTCATCCTCTGGTGAAGGAGTGAAATCAGAGAAATGAGGCAACTCGGCCAATAGTAACACAGGCGACCCTGAATATCAAAGCGAGCCTAGATGTCCGGGCACGGAGGGCGGAGAGAGGCCGGACGAAGAGTTCTCCAGGTCATAAAGGGGGCATTCCTTCAGAGGCATCTCACCCGGACAGGAGGGTCAGCCTCTCAGAACACAGCTGTGCCTGATGAAGCTGGCAGGGCCCGGCCCCGGGCAGCCCTCGGTCCACGTGCAGAGCCTGAGGCTCCAAAGGCCAGACCGGGACCTCGGAGCCAGCCCCAGGCCTTCAGGCTGCAAAGGGAGAAACTGAGGCCAGGAGGGGATGGGTCAGTGGCAGATCTGGGGTTAGGCCCCGCCCCCCTAAACCCCCTATCCCAGACCCAGAGACCCTGCACGGCAGTCTGGGGAGGTCACAATTGGGGTCCAGGCAGCCCCAGAGGAGCTGGGAAGTTGAGGGGTCTCAAGGTGAAGATGGAACAGGGTGACCCCCTTAGGGTTTCTGGGCCTTGGTGTTGTCACCATACGGCACCGGGGCGCAGTGTAGGGGTATGGCCCCTGGTCCCACTCAGAGGGCTCTCTGTCTATGGGCCTAAAGGAGGGTCCTCCTGGTGGGAGGCCTCCTGCCTCAGGCCTGGGGACTGTGACCACAGAAGGGGGCTGGCAGGTAGCAGAGCCCTGGGGTCCTGGGGTGGGCGGAGCGTGCAGCTGTGCTCACGGGAGCCCGAAAACTACCTCAGCGCCCCTGCCGACACAACTACACCCACAGGAGAGCAAGACAGAGCCGCTCCCGAACGCCCACATCATGTCGCTGCCACCTCTAGAGCCCTCCACCAGGTACCAGGCGAGAGTGCGGGTCAAGCCCGACAATGGCTACGACGGGATCTGGAGCGAGTGGAGTGAGGAGTGCTCCTGGGACACGGAGTGGGGTACGTCTCCCCCGCCTCTGCCCACCTCTCCCGCTCTAGCCCAGCTACAGTGATAGGGGCGATATGGACACAGCTGTGACCCCCACCTCACTTGAGCATCCTTCCCTCCCATGTATCACAGTCATTGGAAAGTGACGCCTGGTGTGTGCCACAGGCTGCAGATAAGGCCCTGAGAGGGCAGAGAAGCGCAGGTCTCACCATCCCTCCTCCCTCAGACTGGGCCTCGGCTCTCTATTAATATGACCCATGGTCTCATTCGCTTTTGTATCAGCCTCCACCTAGTGGTCACTCAGCCCAAGATTCTAGTTACTATCAGCAAACATCAGGGCCCACAGACAGAGGTCTGAGGTCGGAAGGTCTGAGTCTGGCTTCTAATCTTCCCTATGCCCCTGAACCTGCCACGTTCATTTGCCTCTCATTTTTACCAGACTGGTTGCCACGAGGCAAGCACGAGGCTCCCAGGAGAAGGAGAAGAGGGGTGTCCTGGAGGGGCCCAGCCCTTGAGGGGCTGGTGGATGCCCAGCAGGAAGTGCGGGGGCCCCGGGGGCGGCCTGTGCACCTGCTGGTCTCTCCATCAGCGCAGCTGTGCCCACCCCTGCCTCTCTGGTCTTCCCTGTCCCCAAGGCCCAGCCTCACAGGTGTGCCTCCTTTTATTGCGCTTCTCCTCACTGCGCTTATCAACATGGAGGCAAACCCCGCCCCTGCAAAAACATTACCCCTTGCTGAGGGCTCAGGGGATGGTTAACAGTATTTAGCAATAAGTATTTTTATTTAAAATATGTACTTTTTTAAATTTTTCTTTTCAATCACTGTTTACATTCAGTACCATTTCATGTTAATTTCAGGTGTACCGAATAGTGGTTAGATAACGACACACTTTACAAAGTGCTCCCCCCGATATCCCCAGTACCCACCGGGCACCATGCACAGTTATTACAGTGCCATCGCCTATGTTCCCTATGCTGTGCTTACATCCCTGTGACGATTTTGTAACTACCCATCAGTACTGCTCGATCCCTTCGCCTTTTTCACCCAGTCCTCCACGCCCCACCCCCCGCAACTGCCAGTCTGTTATCTGCATATATGAGTCTGCTTCTATTTTGTTTGTTTTTCTTCTTTAGATTCCACTTGTAAGTGAAGTTACATTTGTCTTTCTCCATTTGACTTACTTCACTTAGCATAATACCTTCTAGATCTATCCATGCTATCAAAAATGGCAAGATTTCATTCTTTTTAAAGCTGAGTAATATTTCCTTTTGTATATATGTGTATAGAGACCACTTTTCTTTATCCACTTGTTTATTGATAGGTACCTGGGTTGCTTCCATATCTTGGCTATTGTAAATAACGCTGCTATGAACATAGGGGAGCAAATATTCTTTCAAATCGCTGTTTTGGGTTTCTTTGGATATTTACCTGAAAGCGGAATTGCTGAGTCATAAGGCAGTTCCACTTTTAATTTTTTGAGGAAGCACCCTACTGCTTTCCCTGCAGGCTGCACCAGCCTGCGTTTCCACCAACAGTGCATGAGGATTCCCTTCACTCCACATCTTTGCCAACACGTGCTTGTTTTATTAAATTTATTCACGATAGCCATTCTGACAGGTGTGAAGTGATCTCTCATTGTGGTTTGAATTTGCATTTCTCTGATGAATGGTGAGATTGAGCATCTTTTCATATGTACACTGGCCATCTGGATGTCCTCTTTGGAGAAGTACCTATTCAGGTCCTCTGTACTCCCGTTTTTTTTTAAAGATTTTATTTAATTATTTTTAGAGAGAAGGGGAGGGAAACATCAATGTGAGAGAAACATCGATCAGGTGCCTCTGGCATGAACCCCATCAGGGGACTGAACCCACAAGCCAGGCATGTGTCCTGACCAGGAATGGAACCAGCAACATTTCACTTCATGGGACGAAGCCCAACCAACTGAACCATGCTGGTCAGGGCCTCTGTCCACTTTTTAATTAGATTGGTGTATTTTTATTTTTGTGTTGAGTTGTCTGTGTTCTTTATAAAATACGAATATTGACCCTTTACAGGATATATCATTGGCAAATATCTTCATCCACTCAGTAGGTTGTCTTTTCATTTTATTGATAGTTTCCTTTGCTATACAAAAACTTTTTCATTTGATGTCGTCTTATTTGTTTATTTTTTCTTTTCTTTTGTTTATCTTTTCTTGTCCAAGGAAATATATCAGGCTAAAAAAAACCTAAGAGAACTGTCAGAGATTTTACTTCCTATGTTTCCTGCTAAGGAGTTTTATGGTTTCAAGTCTAACATTTAAGTCTTCAATCCATTTTGAGTTTATTCTGGTATAGAGTGTAAGAAGGTGGTCTAGTTTCTTTCTTTCTTTCTTTCTTTCTTTCTTTTTTTTTTTTTTGTATGTATCTGTCCAATTTTCTCAACACCTTTTTTTTAATAGAGTCTTTACTCCATCATATGTTCTTGCCTCCTTTGCCATATATTAATTGAGCATATAAGGTGGGTTTATTTCTGGGCTCTCTATTTGGTTTCATTGATTTATGTGTCCACTTTTATGCCAGTGCCATGCTGTTTTGATTACAATAGCTTTATAGTATAGCTTGATATCTTGATACAGTGATACCTCCAACTTTGTTCTTTTTTTCTCAAAATTGTGTTGGCTATTTAGGGTCTTTTGTGGTTCTGTGAAATATGCCATTGGTATTTTGATAGGAATTGCATTGAATGTATTGATTGCTTTGGGTAGTATGGACATTTTAACAATGTTCATTCTTCTCCGTGAACATGGTATATGCTTCCACTTATCTGTATCTTCTGTTTCTTTCTTTGACGTTTTCCAGGCACAGAGCTTTTACCTCCTTGGTTAAATTTATTTCCTAGGTGTTTTATTTTTATACATTGTTCCTTAAGACATAATACTATTGCATGCATAACAGACTACAGTATAGTGTGAACATAACATTGTTATGCCCTTGGGAAACCAAAAAATTCATGTGACTTACATCATGGCAAAATTGGCTTTTCTGCAATAATCTGAACCAAACCTGCAATATCCCCAGGGTATGCCTATGTACAACCTTCTTCAGGAAGTCCCCCATGGTTTCCATGGGCTATAGTCACTGCCCCCCTGCCCCAGGCACCTCCTGCCACTGGTAAAGTTGTACCCCTCTGTGTCTTCTTTAGCACCAAAACATTGGTTGGGGGGATGCAGAGCAAGGCCCTCTTCTTAGCCTGTGTCTGGCCCCTCTTCCCCTCCATACCTCACCAGCATTGGCCGGGCCCCGCCTGCCCCCCCCGCCCCCCCTCCAGAGCCTCCCGCGTTTCCCTCCCCAGATGCTAATGCTCCTTTTTCTTTCCTGGCCACCCTGAAGTGCTGCCCATGTGGGGCCTGGCCTTCATCCTGGTCCTCGCCACCCTCGCCTTACTCCCGGCCCTGCGCTTCTGTGGCATGTATGGGTACAGGTAAGGGGGCTCCATGATGGGTGGGGGCAGGGATACCTGAGACCCCCGGGGCCACGGGGATCCCAGCACTGATCACTCCAGTCCCTGCTCTGCCACCCACCCCCTGGGGGTTCTTGGACATATCTCGCCCTCTCCTTGGGCCTCAGTTTCCCCTCTGTACATGAATATGGGCAGCTGCCCTGAGGTCTCTGGCGGCTGTCACTTCCTTGCTGTCTTTCTAGGCTGAACCGGAAGTGGGAGGAGAAAATACCCAACCCCAGTAAGAGCCACCTGTTCCAGGTAAGATCTGGCTGTGAGGGCAGCTGGGGGGGTAAGGGCCCCTCTGTGCCAGTGCCCATGTACCCATGCCCATCCTCCTTCCCTTGGAAGTGGGGCACAGGTGGCCAGGAGGGGGCAGAGAATCTCTAAGAGCAAGGCCAGCACCTGCAAGTTCATCCCTGAAGACCCCTGGGCCCTGCAGATGCATGGGGTGCCCTGCCTTCAGGGGCCCACGTGGAGCAGGAGAGAGTTGAGTGTGGAGATGCTGGGAGGGCAAAGGTGGGCCCAGGAAGGGGTTAGTTTTACCGAGGGTGGGTGGGAGGCAGAATGGCCCCCTGAGGACAGGACAGCAGAGCTAAGCTTTGAGGGATCTGCGTGGTGCCAGGTGGGAAAGATCACTGTAGGCAGAAGGCACATGTAGCCAGTGGGGCATGAGATAGGACCACGTCATGAAGGACAGAGGTGGGCAGACGATGAGGCTGGGGGCCCGTCACGGAGGCCGAGAGTACCACAGAGTGGCAGAGCCCCTTGGTCAGGCGGGGCCTGCTCTGCGTGCAGAGGGTCTCCAGGGGGCTGCGGAGGCTGCCGGTGTGCACAGTCCGGGGGGCGCATGGAGGCAGCAGCTCCGCGGACGAGCAGACTCACGCAGACAGGCACCCCGTCCTTCAGTGCTGGAGTGGAGGGCCCCAGCGAAGTCCCGGCCCTCCTTTGGCCTCCCCTCCTGGTGTCAGAAGGCCGTGTCTGGTCCTGACCGTGCTGAGATTTCTCCCGTGTCTGAGGACTCCCTGAATCCCCCATCGCCCCGCAGCCCTCCCCCACCGTCACCGTCTCCAGGCCCCACACCCAGGGGCACAAATGTCCTTCTCTTCCAGAACGGGAGCTTGGGGCTCCGGCTCCCAGACAGCATGTCTGCGCTCACCCGCAAGAGCCCCTCACACAAGGGGCCATGGGACAGCCACTTCCCTGGGTTGGAGAGGTGGTGAGTGTCTGGGCCTGGGGTCCCGGGGAGGTGGGAGGGTGGCCCCACTGTGCACATCGGAGGCTCAGAGGAGGTGGCCTCTGGCCTGGGGCTCAGTGTGAAGAGGTCCAGGGCGGTGGCTTGCACTAAGGCAAGGGGCATCCCAGAGGGACGGCAGGAAGCACTTCCTGATGCCTAGGCTAGCAAGAGCCATAGCTCGGGTCCCACAGATAACCTCTCCGCGCCCTGCTGCCCGCACGGCCGCGGCCTCAGGGGCGGCCAAGGAGCCCCAAACCCTCCTGGTCTGCGCCCGAGCCGCCAGCCCTGCGCTAACCCTCAGGAGAGGGCGCTGCACGCTGGGGATGAGGAGCGCAGGGAGGGCTGGGCAGGCACAGGCTGGGCGCGGGCCTGGCCCTGCTGGGGCCATACCAAGGAGCAGGGAATGAGAGGGACACACCTGAGAGAGGAAGCTGTTGCTCAAGAGCATGGAGGCTGGAGGGCCGGATCCACAAGGAGACGGAAGGAACATCCGGTTTCCTGCTCTGGGCTCGCCCCCCAACCTCCCACCGCCCCTGGCCCGGCTCTGTGCTCTCTGTGACCCTGCTGGTCCCTGACCTTCCAGAGCCACGTCCTCCACAGCCCCTCCTGCATGAACCAAGATGTCTGCCCAGGGTGGTCCCAACATCTCTGCTCCTGTTCCTCCCACAGGGTGTCCCCTGTAGACTGCATGACCAGCGAGGTGTCATATCTTACTGTAGAGGACCCTAAAAATGCCCGTGACTCACCCTCTGAGCCTAAAACGACTCCAGCCACCTCAGACCTGCCTACGGAGCCGCCCCCAAGTCCCGTGCCCTGCCTGTCATCCCCCTCAAGCAGACTTAAGAGCCAGGTTTCTGGCTTTGACTTCAACGGCCCCTACCTGGGGCCACCACACAGCCTGTCCCTGCCGGAGCTTGTGGGCCAGGAGGCGCTCCCACAGATAGGTGAGAGCCAGAAGCCGCTGCCCACAGGGTCCCTGGAGTACATGTGCCTGCCCGAAGGGGAGCAAGTGCAGCTGGTCCCGTTGGCCCGGGTGCTGGGCCAGGGCCAGGCCAGGGGTGTAGAGAGAAGACCCTGTCCTGGGGCTGAGGGGAGCCCCTCCCTGGAGTCAGGGACAGACGCTGTCCCTCCTGCACCTGGGCTCGCGACGGGTGTCCAGGGCACGAAGGACAGCCCCACAGCTCTGTCTACCGGGCCTGGGCGCCCTGAGGACAGCGTCGTGGCCTCTGATTACATCAACCCTGCAGACCTGGCATTCGCCCCACCCGCAGGGGCGCCAACGGCCTCTCGGGTGCCCCCTCTGGGCCTCCCCCCAGACCAGAACCTCAGCCTCTCTCCTGGACTGGCTGGCGGGCCCCCTGAAGCCCCGGCCCCCGGGAAGCCAGCGTTCGACAGCTATGTGGAGCTCCCCTCAACCATGGGCCAGCCCCCTCAGCCCCCTCTGGGCAGTCCTGCCCCTCCTGCAGCCAGCAGCCCCGCCCTGAGTCCAAGGGGGCCCCGGGTCGATGGGACCCCGGTCTCCCCACACCCCGAGGGGCTCCTGGTGCTGCAGCAGGTCGGCGATTACTGCTTCCTCCCCGGCATCGGGTCCGGCCCACTCTCACCGCACAGTAAGGCCCCCTCCCCTGGACCCTGTCCTGAGATCAGGGACCTGGACCCGGCGTTCCAGGCCAAGAAGCCCCCATGCCAGGCCATTCCCCAGGTGCCAGCCATTCAGCTCTTCAAAGCCCTGAAGCAGCAAGACTACCTGTCGCTGCCCCCCTGGGACGTCAGCAGGCCCGGGGAGGTGTGCTGAGAGCCTGCAGACCTCGGGGGGCACGGGGAGGAGAGCGCCTGCCTCCTCGCCCGCCTGCTTTTCTCTTGCCAGCCTCTGGCTTTTCCCACCCTCATTTCTACAAAGCCAAGGAAAGGAGACCAGGAAAATGAGCAAAGCGCCTAACTTCTCTGTCGGCCTTCAGCAAGGGCAAGAGCCTCTCTCTCCTGCCCCATCCCACCGACATACACACGTTTCTTTCAAGTTCACGTATTTTTAGGTTCTGAATTATTAGAACATTCTGCACACACTCATTTCATTTGCCCTCATTTTCTTTATTACCAGGTTTTCCTGCTTTTGCTCATTTCTTGTTGCTCTTTTCGCTGATTTATTATTAGAGTGAGTGTGAGGTCCAAGCTAAGCATGTTCCGAGAGGTCACGTCTCGGTGACATCCTGTTCTGACATAGACGTGTCTGCCTGTGTAGGAGGACCTGTGTCTGCAACCTATTTCTGGAGGCACAGACGCAAGAGTCCAGGCCAGGTGCAGGGGTGGCGGACAGGGGGTTGCGCCGGGGCGGGAACCATCGAGGGTCGCGGGCCTGGCAGAGCAGCACAGGACTGCACCTGCCTTCGCCAGGCACTGCAAGCTCCACCTGTGGCGACCAAGCACCAGCTTGTCACTCCGAGAAGTGGGTGTGGCCGGGGAAGCACTGTTCTGAGCTCACGGAAGCCCCCCGCGGGTCTCCGCAAGGCCACGGGGAGTGTCAGGGCCCTAGGACCTGCACCAGGGACAGGCCACGGGGCCAAGCAGCGTGTGGTGCTCGTTCCTGGCTGACCTTCCTTCACCCAGGCTGGTGGGGCCCGGAAAACTCAGGAGAAGAGGGGAGTCCAGGGCCCTCGCCAACTGTAGGGAAGCTGGAAAGGACTGCTCAGCAAAGGAAAATGACAGGAAGGGCATGCGCACATCCGGGCTTATGGTCCGACTATAGTCTCAGCCTCCCTCTTGCAGAAAGACGTGCGAGCCCGACCGCCCAGCCAAGCATGAGGGCTTTTGGCCTATGTCTAGGCCTACGAGGGGACTATGATTCTTTTAAGTCTTTGCCTTCCTGACATGCAAAAATGATGGCATTAAATTGTTTTAATTTTCATTATTTGATACCTTTCAAGTTTGCACGTACTTTTATATTTCCCCGGCCTTGGTATTTTTTACTGGACTAAGTTCATGAAGTAATGAACTTCGTTCTGCCAGGTGTTCATCTTTTCCTGATGAAGATTCTAAAACTCTTACGTATGGTCTTTCACGCACGGTGCCAATTGTTTTCCCCTAGTTTGTGGTTTGTCTTTTAACTGTGTACGTGAGGCTTGTGGGTGTCCACAAGCAGATTCTCCTGTTAAACCCCCCAGGAGACGCCAGCGTGGCTCCAAGGCTGGTACCAACCTCACCAAGGCCTCCCCCATGTCGAAAGTGCATTTGTCCTAATTTATTTATTTTTTCTAGTTCTTTCTGTGTTTTGGCCTGTTCATGTAAAATGTTAATGACTTTGGAATGCACGTCTGTGAGACAGAGAGCTGGCCTTCTGCCCTCCCCCAGCGGGAGGCCCAGCTGTCTTTGCATTATTGGTTGAATCACCTGTTCTTTGTCCATGTATCTGAAATGCCACTTTTATGATATAGAAATTCCTGGTATGCACTTGGTCTGTTTCTAAGCTTTTGATTTTATTACATTGTTCTCTGAGAGGTGCCCCGCCATTTTGATTTTGCTTTCTAGCTTTATAGTGTGTTTCAATATATGGCAGAGAAAGTGTTCTTGTTACCTTTTGTTCACAAATTCCTGTACATCACAGCCATGTTTGTGGGCCCAGAAAATTCTAAACAACTTAAATATTCACCAATAGAGAAATTAATAACAACACTTTTTGTACATTCTAAAGTAAAAACCTGTGTTAAAAATGAATGAGGTCGACAGACATAGATCAGAAAGAAGTCCAAGATGTTAATTCCAAAATGTTCGAACATTGTTAACTGGAAAAGAATGCAATAAATTTTTTTTTAATTATAAAACCAATGCCCTAAACTCACTGGATGTGTTGGAGTAGTTGGGGAAGGGCGCTATTTGAAACTCCAGTTGCATGAAGACGGTGAGTTTGAGGGGAGTTGGAAATTCAGATTTAACTGGATGTCCTGTATTTGCTCTCTAGTGAGAGCAAAAAACCAAGTAAGAGACTGAGTTCCCCATAAAAATAGTTGAGAATCATTGAGAGCTGATTTCTGGCAGGGGCTGCCCAATGGGTTTAGCAGCATCAGCTCATTTAATCTCCACAGCCCTCTGAGGCAGATGCTATCTTCCCCCTTCCCTTGTATAAGTGAGGAAACTAAGGCACAGAGAGGTTACGTAACTTGTCCCAGGTCAGCCAGCTGGTAGGTAGCTGAGTCCAGGCTCAGGTCTTTCCAAGAGGTCAAACCCTAACCACCCCAAGTCCCCAGAGCACACCTGCCTCTCCGACACCCCCAGGCTCTCTCTGTCCCTTCCGTCCCAGCCTCCCCACATCCCCTTGCCCCCCGCCCGCCTGTCAGCCTGGCCCCCGAGGCCGGGCCGTACCTCTCTGAGGTGGGACACACCAAGCTGCTGCCGGAGTCTCCAGGCAGCAGAGCGCCTCTCACGCTTCCTATTTATGCTGACGTTGTTAGGAAACCGAGAAGCAGAAAGAGGAAGCGATGCCCGGGCCCGTTTCTGCGCAAGTGGCTCTTCACAGGGTCACCCAGCTTCTTAGAACTGTGGACACCAGGATATCAATTTTTATCTTATATCTTACGATTTTGCAAATGTTCCTTGGGGTAACGTCCACTTTGTCTCCCTGTGAACACAACACACCCTCCTTCAACGGTCAGCTCAATGCCAAGCTCTTCTGTGTAGCCTCCCCCGAGGCCGCAGGGGGACGAGGGGGGAGGTGGCTGCAATGTCCCGAGCCGGGGAGAGCCCAGAGCCACTGGGGCCTGGGCTGAACGCCCACCTCCACTACTGCTCAGCGTGTGAATTCTACGGGCTGAATGGGGACCCTAACATTCCTATGGTGAAACCCTAACCCCCCATGCAACTGCATTGAAGACAGGGCCTCATGGAAGTAATTAAAGTTAAATGAGGTCCTAAAGGTGGCGTCCTGATTTGATGGGATTAGTGTCCTTAAAAGAAAAGGCACCCAAGGGCTCGCTCTAGCTCTCAATCTCTCTGCCCCACCCCGACTCCGCTGCTCTCTACCACCGGAGGGCTTGGAGAGAGGGTGGCTGCCTAGAAGCCAAGAAGAGAGCTCTTACCAGGAACTGAACCAGCCAGCACCGTCATCCAGGACTTCCAAGCTCTGGGACAATGGGAAAATCAATGTGTCTTGTTTTAGCCACAGTCTGTGGGACTTCGCTGAGCAAAACCACGAGCAAACTCCGACAGTACGTGTATGCAAACTATCTGCATGTTAGTTTAAGCCTTAAGACCCTCATCTGTTACTTGGAGGTGATGGGCTACAAACCTCAGAAAGGTTCTGAAGGGAGTCAACAAGGTGCCACCCAGCACAGAACATCTTAGCCCTCATTCAGCCAGTGTTGGCTGAAATCACCTTTATTCCCCTTAGTCCCCCCCACCCTGCACCTCTCCGCATGGTCCTGGTGTCCTTGTGTTTCATGACCACCCCCAACCTGGTTACTACCTCTTTCTCTGGTTGTCTGCACACACGCTGGCAGAGGCAGCCCTTAGGACTGTGTGGAAAGAGTGACTGACCAAATGAATGAATGAATGAATGAATGAAACGAGTAACTCCTTGAGGATAAAGGCTCCAGAGCCCACACCCCTTCCCTTCTTGCTCTGGTTCTGTCCGGCCAGGCAAAGGACCGGGCACTCGAACTGGGCGTCCCACCTGCTGATCTATCAAGCCAGAGGCAGAGTGTAGACCACAGGCAGGTCTGCCTGACGTTCAGAATCCAGACACCGGAACCTGCTTTTTTCCTGCCTTTTTCCTGGAATGGAGTAAAGGGCTGGGAGGAAGAGAGAGAAAGGGCGGGGAAGCTATGGGCATTCTCTCCTGGCTCTTTGAGTCCTTCCTGCCAGGAAGGGCACCCCTGGCCAGGGAGAGTGGAGCTGACCCTTCCCTCGGGGGGAGGTCCTGGTCTGAGGACAGGAACGGGGCTCAGCCCGGGGTGGGGGTGCACCCGAGGCCCCCGCTGTGGGATCTGGTGCTCTCCGTGCTCCCCCCCCATCACCACCCTGAACGCGCGTTTCCTGCAGGGGCGGGGGGAGGGGGCAGCTCAGCCTCCAGCTGCCCTGAGGGACGGGGGCTGGGCCCAGCCAGGCAGCCGTGAAGCAGTAAACGGAAAATGCAACACAAGAAATGATTGAAGCGAAACCTTTTTATAAACACTGTCATAACTACACACTTTAAAATAGTATCTTTTTATAAGCACATTAAAATAGAAAACAATGAAATATCTGAAAATTAAACGATGACAAAGGAGTTTTGTGGGAAGTCCTGGGTCCGGCTATGACCATCAGCTATAAGGGTCCACTTGGGGAGGAAGTATCAAGAGAAGCAATGCCCTGTGGTGACTAGTGAGCTACAGAGCTGGAGCCGGCCCATCTGAGTTCAAATCTTAGCTCTGCCACTTGCTGCTGTGTGACCTTGGGCAAGTTACTTAACCTCTCTGTGCCTCAGTTTTCTGTTGTGTAGAATGGGATAAAGCACTTGGGACAGAACAGGGTTGTAGGAACTCACTCCGCATGACGAAACTGTTGCCACTGAAGGCACTGGTGGCAACTCAGGCGGCATCTGAAAGGCCTCAGTTTTTTATCCTTCCACAACAGTCCCGAAGCCTGGCCCCCAGCCATGCCTCCTCATTTCATCCACATGTTTGATTCACTAAGTCTCTACACCAAGGCCCTTTGTCCCCAGGGTTGTCCCAAGCCAGCCCCGAGGGGAGCGACTCCCTGGCTATTTAATGAATTCCGGGAGGTGGCGTCCACGGGGACCTGGCCCCCTCTGGGCCGGGGGATCTCTCAGGCACCCGCACGCCCATCCCACTTGTCCTGTTCACTTCCTCAGTCTCAGCCAGTGTCTTTCTGATAAGCGGCACGTCTTTTTCGGTCAGGTCGGGGTCAGAAGGGATGCTGAGAGAGTGGCAGGACAAGAAGGACCCTGGGTGGTACAGCAACCACCAGGGTGGGGCCCCGGATGTGAAGGGGACAAGGATCGTGTGTTGGAACAATTGGGCCCAAGACAGAGACACAACAATTCTACGTAGGAGAGTCAGCCTGGGGCCTCCTTCCACTTGGGCGGGCATGTGGAGGTGAGGTCAGGTTGAAAATAAAGTGAGGAGATACAGGCGCAATTCCCTGACAGCGAGCTCACACCAGAAAGGCTGAGCCCAAAGAAGGACGGTTAGAAACAGCCAGGACCTACGAAGTCAAGGGAGGAGCCCAGGTTGTCTTCCCCGGGCCCCGGGGCTGGACTGGGAGCCGGAGTAGCTGCATGGCACGAGTCGCTGTGACCCCCACCTCCGCTCCAGGAAGCCCTTACTGGGACGAGAGCCCAGATCACAGCCCCAGCCACCACGTGGCTTCTACCTGGCGGCGTCACCAAGGGAGCGCCGTTCGCTGTCTCTGGCCCTCGTTTTGACATCTCCTCATCTGCGGCACGTGGCTAACAGGTGGCATTTGTCAGCCTGTGCCCCAAGCACAGCCCCTGCAGGCCTGTGTCCACATCATTGTCCTGGAACAAACTTCTCGGATCCAATAATAAATCTGAAACATTATCCACCAGAAATGGAACATTACTGCAAGTTTATTATTATAAATGTAAGTCTCAAAGCTTTAAGTGCTGACATTTGTCTGGATAATAACAGCAATTTCTCAGCGCTGTCAGTGCTTCTGGGTGTCCTCCCCTGAGACCGCTGCTGTGATGCTGATAAACACTCCTGTTCTGCCAGCACACCGGACATCTCTGATGTCCCAGTGCGCAGTCGGAGGTCACTCAGGCAGGAGCGGGGGGTGGGGGGGGTGCGTCCCGCGGGAACTCTGTACTCAACATCCATGGCTCAGGCAGATCCCCAGCGCCGCCATCCTTAACTTCTGACCATGGTGGGCGGTCAACCGCTCTCATTCCCAGAAGCATTTTGTGCCTATGTGAGACTCCTAAGGCGTTCTTGTGAAGTCTGTTGTTTTGCGGTTTGAATAATAAGAACAAAAAGTGGTTGGGGAGCCTCGTTTATCTGTGATACCACCGCTGGTCTTAATTCTCTTCGTTGTTTTCACTGTGTCTGCCTCAAAATAATGTATCATGGATCTGCAACTAATTTTGATATTTTTGTCTTTGTGAAAGATGGACATGGCAAAACTGACATTTTGCTTCTCATTTATTCTCACGAGATGTGAACGGTTCTCAAACAAGAGCTTTTTTGAAGGATCTGTGGCCTAAAAGGAATTAAATCTCTAAAACATGAAATAGAATTTTTAAAGGGACTTCGTTCGTGCAAGGAATGCTAGTATTCTCAATCTTCAAAGATTAGAATTATAATATGACTAAATCTCTGCTTTCTGCCTTTTAGTGTTATTTAACTGTTATAAGATGACAGTGTTTATATTCTTCCTGAAGTTTTCGGCAAATACACTCTCTTAATATTTATATTAACTGTCAACCTATTTCTGGATTCAACTCTTTAAAGCTTTTATTGTTTCCCTTCAAAAAATTAACAGCTTTCACCATAATTAATTAGTGCAGCATTTAACTCTTGAAACAATAAATAGTGTTTATACTTCAACTGACAATTCAATTGTGACATAAAAAGTACATGAGCACATGACATGTCTCAAGGAGGAGAAGAGCAGCAGAGAGGCAGCTCTCGGTTAAGCGGTGTTCGGAGAGGCACGGTGGGCGATGAGACAATGAAGAAAAGGAAGGAAGAGGCGGAGGACGCCACAGAAGCCAGGGTGCTGGCTGGGGGCTCAGAGGTGTGTCTGGGAGCAGCGCGGGGAGGCTCTGGGGGGCTGGCTGGGTTCTGTCGCCTGTCCTGAGGCAATTTCTCTCC